AGTCTCAGCTCATGAAAAGACTTGATATGAAATGTTTTTTTCAATCCCTGCCCACCTACACCTGCATCCCCTCGGTGGTTCAGCACACGATCAAAGACTTTGGAGAGGCACTCCCAGAAGGTGGAGACCTTCCGACGATTTTGGGCGATTGCAATGGGAACGAAATAGCGATGGTCTCCGACCTAGAAGTGATGGCCTCCTCCCCCTAGTAGTAACAAGTGCATCGCTACTAGTAACAAGTGCCTTACTAGTAGTAACAATAAGCTACTAGGAACAAGTGCCAAAGCCTGAAGTGGAGCCACTGGAGCCTTGGGAGGCGAAGCACCTTGGCCGTCAGAAGCAAAGCTTTCCTCATGCGCTATGCTTCACGACTGTGTGTCCGCTTCAATTCACTCATGTCAGACTGTGGATCGGGCGAAGAGGCGCGGAGCACAGCGCGAAAAAGCCGCTGGGAAGCGAAGTTGGAGCCTGTTGGCAGTTCTCCCAATGAAAGGCTGTTCAGCGGTTCTTTGCATCGAGTCACTCTTGCCCCTGGTTGACCTGGTTGACATGGACCACTCCTACAATAGTTTTGAAGCAAATAGGCTATCCAATCTCAAGATTTAGTCACACACACACATGCGCGTGCACAATAGCAATTACAAGCATTCTGGGACCCTGTTCGCGGCCGCTTTGCCCGTGGCGACCACAGCATGTCGTGTGCAATCGGAAAGCATTTTGAGCGGGACACTTAACGACAGTCAGACCACGCCAGTGCCCATCAGTGTCCTTCAGTGTCTGGGGAGGGTTCTGTGCAGTTCCTGCCCAAGTGCACGCACCCGCAGTTTTTCGCCTCCGGTTTATATCATTCACGCAGCAAAAACAGGCATTGGGACCGACCAATCGTGAAAAGGCGATTCATCTGGTAGGAACGACCATCGTGGGGCTCCTGGCCTTACTACTAGGAACAAGAAGCTACTACAGTAGGTTCAAATGCAAGAAATCCTTAATCGAACCCTTTTGAAGAGGTTCAATACCATAACAGGTCTCTTGGATCTCAAGTTCTCCCCTCAAATGATGTTGCTCTACCAGATCAGTTGAGAGCTTAGTGAATCCTCTTGGTTTGGGATAGTCCTAATTCTTCTTATTCTTCTTCTTCTTCTTCTTCTTCTTCACAACAACAAGGACAACAAGGACACTCAAAGACACTCAAAGACACCAACGCGCAAACCGCAGGCCAGTCGCTCAAAAAACGCTTTGAGTGTCCTTGAGTCTCTTTGAGCGGCCAAAATCGAACAGCACGACTCTTACAACGGGACTATTTAGCATTGTCACACTGAGAAGAGCTGGCCTGTTCAGGCTCAGATGGCGGTGATATCGATGCTGTAGGCAAGCCTTTGAACTGCAAGGAGTTCGCTGGACGACTTGACCTAAGAGGCTCAGCTTGTTGGCTGGGGCACACTTTTTCCGACGTCGTTCCCACAATCGAATGATGTGTTTTCTTCGTGTTTTCTGCGTCTCGAATTGGCCTTTTCGGATGATTCCGAAACGCTTCTCTCAGGTCTCGGCGTGGTTCCTCGCAGAGGCAGTGGAAAGTCCAGCAACATGACCAGCAGCTTGTGACCCAACTGTCCACCTCACAGCACAAGTGAAAGAAGAAACTTGAAGAAAGTCTGAGGCAGAAGCAAACAAGCGTATAAGGTGTAAATGTGTGGAAATTTTAAAGAAGCCAATGCTGAAACGAAAAATGCCTTTTTGTACTTTAGCGCAGCAGTTATGTATACTTACAAGTGCTGTGCATTGAAAAAGGAAAAAGATCTGTTGTCTTTGCGTCTTCCTCCCTCGGCCAGCCTGAAGATCTCACACCCAGCAGCAGAATGCCAACGAGCCTCAGTCGAGACGACCGTGCCTGACAACAGTTTGGTCCGCTTAGGAAGGGGCTCCAAATACGTCACCCACAAGCGGAGGGCAGCAGCGTTTTGCGGTTTACCTCCAAATGCAGAAAAAGTCTCTTCAAACATGTTACACTAAATTAATCTGTGAGAAATCCTTTAAAATGACAATCAAATGGAGAGCCTGAGTTGCGCCCATGCCGCTCCAGGTCCATCATGCTGGAGGCCAGGTAAGCCTAGATCAAAGCATGAGATCAACACCTTCATTTAGTCAAAGAGAAAGACATTGTCCAAGACACCTTCATTTGTCAAGAGTTTACTTTGGATGTCCGCATGTTCGATTTCACGCCTTGAGCGCTGTCAACGGTGCTGAGAGCACCTGCTGTGCCAGCAGCAGTCGCTGCGGTGTAAGCGGTACACCGTAGGGCAGCGCGGCAGGCGGTCGCAAGTAGCGCGAGGCCAAACGCAGCGTAGCACTCAGGCGGTGTTGCAGCGACCTGAGGAGAATCGGTAAATCCCAAGGACTCCCCATGACCTGATCGTAAGGATTCATCATGATTCGCGAATTGTCGATTTCGTGACCATTGTTGGACATTCTTACACCAAAGAAAAGGAACGTCATCGTTTCGACACAAAAAGGCTGTGGGAGCCTTCGGAAATCTTCGGAAAGGCTGTGGGAGCCTTACGGAGCCTTTCGCGAGAAAAGACTGAGGTTCTCTCATGATCACATCAGGCCCTGCAGTGCCAGCTCGCTGTGCGCCCTGAAGAAGCAAGCTCCGGGCAAAGGGGTCTCCGTAAGACACGTTTGTCCAAACTGTCTGAAGTGTTGTCCAAGCCTTTAACTGCGAAATTGCCTGCCGCAAAGAAGCCGCCACCAGCTTTAGGAAGCTATCCAAGCCAAGCCTGGAGGCAAAGTGAGAGAAAGATACATGACTTGCTCGTCGTAGAATGTCTGGACCAACCTTTGAACCTTTCTTTCTTAATGTTCTTCTTTTTAGCCCGTGGCCCTGCCTCCTTACTTAATTAAGTAGGCGCCTACTTAATTGAGTAAGGAGGCAAGCTACTAGCAATAGGAAGCTCCTACATATGGACGCAGGATAGCTCATGCTTCTTCAAGCGCTCACGCTAATGATTTGGTTCTTGGATTTCTTAAGTCCCTGTCAGCAACGATACCATTGTCTGAGATCGCCTCCGATGCCACTGCCACTTCTTCCCTAACAAATCCTGACGATCTGTTGGCAACACGGCCTTACTACTAGGAGCAAGACGCTACTAGGAGCAAAGGGCATCGCTACGAACGGAGCGTTCGGACGCTGCTAGGAACTTAGGATTGGCTCTCCTCGGGATCCTCTGCACCGTCTTGGTGGCCTGAAAACTCACAATGTTTTATGGTACAAAACCACAAGCTAGCACCGTTCCACCAAAGGCCAGAAATGGAGAGTAATTCATCCAAAGACAAAAACATACTTCATCCAAAAAGAAGAGTAATCCATCTGACACACTTTGAAGCGCCTCCTGAGGGAGCATGATCAAAGCAAACCTCCTGGACTTCCTCCTGCAATCAATTAATCCGTCATCGGTGAAAGAAAGTGTCCTTTTTGAATTCCTCCAACCTACTAGCGATGGCCTCCTGCTTAAATGAAACTGAGATCAGTACTTTTGAAGGGCAAGAAGGCCTGATGGAAACGTAAAGAAACTCTGTTGACAAAGAAAACATGTTGACCTGTCGCCTGTCGTTTAGTGCCTTCGGCAGTCCCTTATTGCCTTGGGCTTCCAACGTTGTGACACACTTGGCGACCTTTGTGTCCACCTGACAACACTCTGCAAACATGTACATGGCCATGCTTAATTCTTCAGCATGTATTGTAGAGCTGATAGTATCTACTTTGGTTTTGGGTGCGCCTGTCTCGCATGCTCTGCCAGCAACTGCCACAAGCAAGATGCTGTGGCATCGTCCACACACGTGCCTGGGTCAAAGGGTGGAGCCTTCAAGAAACTCGTGTTCAGCTGTTGGAAATGGTACAATGTATTTATATATATATATATATGTATATATATATATATGTAGAGAGAGAGAGTCCTGCTTTCAAAGCCATCACCAATGGTATCATCACCTAACCCGCCAATCAAGATTTGCCGCGGCACATGGACTGCATGCATCGTCAATGCGACCACTGTCTCCACCACACACACATCGCTGAGAACCTTTGGAGCAATGCCACAGGCAGAACAATAGAAACGCTGAAAGCTAAGCGTGTTCAAATCTGTCAAAAGCAATTGTGCCGTTTGTCCAAACGGTGCTGTGATGAGTCTGATGAGTCTGATGAGCCAGATTGTTTCTAGAAGATGAACCTAATAGCAATGGCCTCCAACCTACTAGTAATTGCCTCCAACCTAGTAGCTTCTTTATGTTTCTGGGGTGTCTGCTGTTGCAAAGCCACAGCCTTGCTGCAAAGTGTTGCAGTTTTGCCACTCGGGCCGCAGAGAGGTGGAGCTCAAGGACTTTGGAGGCCTCAAAGCAAAAAAACAAATAGTAGCTTTTTGTTACTAGTAGCGATGCCAGGAGCCCCTAGTAGCTTCTTGTTACTAGTAGCGATGCCCTTTGCTCCTAGTAGCTTTTTGTTACTAGTAGCTTCAAAGACCTACTAGTAGTGTCCTTGCTCCTAGTAGCGATGCCCTTTGCTCCAAGTAGCGTCCTTGCTCCTACATCTATAAGGTCCCTGTGTTCATCCTGTGAAACTGCCATTCAAAGTCCTCTTCTCGGCATGCTGTGAACTTTTCTGTTTCTTCCGCTTTCGTCCTATGTTTTTCTATACATTGCAGTGTCTGCTTTTGCAGATCTGGTGACGGGTTTGGTCTCCATCTCTCCATCCTCTCCCTCTCCCTCCCCCTCTCCCTCTCTCTCTGTCTGTGCAGCCTGAGATGGTACAGGTTCAGGCTGCTCGTCCAAGTTGAAGGAGCAAGCACCTGAAAGCTCCGGTGGAATGGGTAGGACCAGGTATGGAGGCATTAGACATCATGAAATGGACAATGCCATCCACGATGTTACAATGTGCATGTTCAAAATCACCAGACTGAAAAAAGGACGCTCATGCTCCCTGAGGGCATCCCATGATGCACGGATCTTGCTCACGAATCGCCTGCTCTTGAGCACGAGGACTGCAGCATCTCGAAGATGTCTTCCACTGGCACCTGCAAAAGAACGATCACAGACCTCCCATGCGACTTGCTCACGCTCAGGAAGCTCCATGATCGAGAACAGAAACAAAACTAAACATCTCAAAATATCGCAAACAGTTTCAAACAGTTTTTCCTCTTTTGCTCATGCAGATGGAACTCTCAAACTGAAGCTCTTACAGCTCGGCCTCAAAGAAGCCCGGACTTCGACTGGGTATGGCTTGACAAAGGCCTTCCAAAACCAAGCATGCATGCAGCCGCAAACGCCGGAAGGGCGCTGGGCGGCGTGCGGTCACCTGAACCAAAAGAGTTCTAAAAGAAAAAACAAAATGGACAAAAGAGGAACCTAGTAGCAACGGAAACCTAATTCTAATGGCCTCCAACCTAATAGCGATGGCCTCCAACTAATGGACGAAAAAATACCAAAATGGAAGGTAAAGAAAGGTAAGGCCCCCTTTTTGAAGAGGGATTCTATACTCCTAGAAGCGCTCTTTATGAAAGAATAATGAATTACGAAGGAATAGAAAATAATTGCAAAAGGATGCAAAAGGAAGCTAAGAAAGCGAAGCAAACCGATGCTTGATTCATCTCACCTGTGTATCGCGAGGCGTTGCAGTAAAGCCAGATATCAGGCTCTCCTTGCAGGGTTTGGACATATCTCAAATGACCGCGCCAAATGTCCACTTGTGTTGCGCTTGGCCTCTAAATCACATCAAATTCAAAAGAACTTCACCTCCTATTCTGCTCCCATCTAAACACTGCGCACTTCTGGTAGCATGGTCTCAACTAAACCCGCACCTGTGAAGCAATGCGGTTTGCCAAAGAGGCTGTGGTTTGCTGTGCATCGGATCCACTTGCGCTGGCATTGCTACCTGTGCGCCCGGGTGCGCCCGGCACATTCTCTTCACAAGAACTGCGCTTGTTTCGACACGTTCTTCCAGCTCAAGATAGCTGCTCCGGGCATTGTTTCACAGCACTCTTGCTGGCAGGATGCTCACACTCCTCTTTTCCACTGCCTCTTGCACCTCCATTTCCTGGAAAAAAAACTCACTAAGTGTGCAAACAAGTCACAAGCCGCCCATAGCCACCCCAAGCACTTCTCATAAAACAGCCCTAGTCCGCTAGTAAGACGCGAAACCCACCTGCTTCAATCGAAGCAACGGACCAAGATCCGCGAGTAGTGCAGATTCCCCCAGCATCTTTGCAAGTTCATCGCCCGCCTGAACCTCGCCATAAGATACATAAGTCCAGGTTCAGAGGCGTTTTGGGCTTCCGACGGAGAAAAAACTCACCGAAAAGCGAACTGCAACCTGAACCAACTGGGCTTTGCACAGGTGCGCCCATCAACTTTGGACCAGGCGCCGGCAGCAACAAACGCCTGTAGATTGGGCGCAAGTGGACCATTTCTTTTTGAAAGACAATGCGAGCTCTGACACATCTGACCTCACAAGGAAACTCACTACAGCCGAGATTCTTCATACCCACAAAAGGAGTGACCGTGAAGCGGCCAGTCTCTGCAAGGACATCGTTATGACTACCTTAGCAAGCAAATAAACATCGTCTCAGCAGCCGAGCGGCAAGAAGGAACATTCTGCAACTCAGCGAAAGGCTGATGGAAGTACAGGAGAATAAGCACGCCGGATTTGGATTGGGACGCTGGGCCTTCAAGGAAATTCCGAAAAGGAAAGCTGTGTTCGCATCTGCTTCATCTGCTACATGCGCTTGACTCGAAACACAGTTCTTTGTCACGTTTCTGTCGTTCTTTCCCTGGTCTCGCTTCTACTGCTTCCTTCAACCACCTCAACGATTAGATAAACCCATCTGAAAACCACACTCCATCTGTCTCTCCCTTTTGTTGTCTCTCCATCGAAGAGCCTCCAACTTGAGGCGCCGCGACAGCCGGCTGGATTGTGTCTTGAGGCGGTGGGTGCTTGAACTGTTTGGGCCATCACTGGCCACCAACCTAAAAAACATAAAAGTGTCTTGCCAGAATGTTCCTCTTGCAGCCTCAAGTGAGTCTACAGAAAGTGTTCTTGTTAGTGCTAGTAGTAGTAGCAGTAGTAGTAGTAGCAGTAGTAGCAGTAGTAGCAGTAGTAGTAGTAGTAGGAGGAGGAGGAGTAGGAGTAGTAGGAGTAGTAGCAGTAGTAGGAGTAGCAGTAGTAGTAGTAGTAGTAGGAGTAGTAGTAGTAGTAGCAGGAGTAGCAGGAGCAGTAGCAGCAGCAGGAGCAGCAGCAGCAGCAGCAGTAGCAGAAGCAGCAGTAGCCGAAGCAGCAGTAGCTACTAGTACTGCTACTAGCACTAGTAGCTAGTACTAGTACTTGTGCTAGTTAGGCACGGTAGTGGCAGTGGTAGTGGTACTAGCAGCAGCAGCAGCAGCATTAGAAGTAGTAAGCTGCACATAGCCAAGGCCAAGGTGGAGGCCATCGCTAGTAGGTTGGAGTCCGTCGCTCTTAGGTTGGAGGCCGCTACCAGGGTGCATGCCATCGCTTGTATTTTAGGCTTAATGGAAAGTGTTTGCAAATAGGACCATGTTCATTGCAAAGGTCGTGAGTTCTCGCCAAAGCACTTCGCCGCGTCCAAGTTCAGCGGTGGCACCGCAGGCCTGGCTTCCCAGAAATGCATGGCCACCACAGGCTACATCACACTTACTCTATTGAAATCAGCTCCTAGTAGCAAGGCCAGGAGCCCCTACCCATCTGCTTCTTCCTAAACATCTAGAAACCAAAATGAATGGTGCGAGCGCTTCTTCAAGGAAGCTCGCCCCCGCCGTTTCAGGCGGAGATCTTCCTTGAAGAAAAGCAAGCTATCTTGCGTCCGGTAGTTTGTAGCGTCCTGCTTGGCTACTAGCCTGACTAATTAGAATCTAATTAAAATTAGTAGTACTAAGTTGTTACTACTAGCTTCTTGTTACTAGTAGTAAGGCACCTGTTACTACTAGCGTGGCACTTGTTACTAGTTGGAGGCAGGGCCACTCAGGCTTTGAAAAAATGATGCACTCGCCTGGAAGGACCTGGTGGAACGAGCGGCAAGTCCAAAGATCCTGTGATTTGAGGAAAGCCGTATACAGGTTTTTGGCAAAAAGAAATACGGCTTTGCAAGCTGTCCAAACTGAATGACTCTTTGAAAGCTTCGGCCGAGTGTAGAGAATTGCAGTAGTTGGGCCTTGCATTGCCTGCATTGGCCACCGAAGTGGAGCTGCAAGGTCTCAGCGACACGGTGACATTCCAAAATCTGAACGGATTCTGAAGGATGTTTTGGAGCATCAAAATCAGAATTCGACTGAGGTGGCGAGAGGAACGAAAAACCACTTGGGAGTCCAAAAACCGACTTTGCGATGGCCTCCAACCTACTCCCGCGGAGTCCTGGGGTTCCGAGCCCATAACACCAAAGGACAAAGATCGTGGCACACTGCGACGTTCAATGCGTGGAGAATTGTACGAGTTCGGCTGCCATTTCTTTCAGAGAACATGCAAAAGTTTAATTGACACACTACAACTCAAACACCAATTCAGACACCCTCTTTTTTGGACAATCGCAACAAGAAGCTACTAGGAGCAAAGGGCATCGCTACTAGGAACAAGAACGCTACTAGGGGCTCCTGGCCTTACTACTAGGAACAATAATGCTACTAGTAACAAGAAGATCGCCTCGTGTTGCGCTCTGGCTCACCTGGGACAATCCGCGGCCACGAGGCACGTTCGCAAGTCGTCGTCACTGAGTTGAGCCCAAGCACTGGCGCTGGACATCGGTGTCTCCGAAGGGACCGAAAGTGGATGATCACGGTGATCCTCAAACGGCCTCGTCCGTGGCTTTTGGCAAGGGTGACCCAAAAAGGACCTAACCAAAAAGCACCTCCTTGATCTCTCGTTTTTCTTGTGCAGCCAAGATACTCCGGAACCTCTGGCGCCTCTCAAACAGCGTCAGCGATCACTTCATTTCGTATCAGGATGCCCCATGATGCTGTTCGTTCCGTCCTTGGAGGAGGATGCTGTCAAAGGAGACCAGGGTGCAGTCAAGCTAGTCCAATCCTGACACCGTCTGCATATTTTATATGGAGTTTGAGAATTTATGCGCTAAGCCAAACGGAAGCGTGGGCGGACCATGCCAAAGGTTCTCGATGATGCAGGTGTAGAGGAAACTGTGACTGTCTGCCTGTCATGTGATCTCTCTCTATCTCTCTCTCTTTCTCTGGGTCCGCTCCATCAGCAAATCTCTGAAATGCATGCTGGGAAGGCGGAATCTGTGGCAAATGGAGCCGATTCCTCAAAAAAGAAGCTACTAGGAACAAGAACGCTACTAGGGGCTCCTGGCCTTACTACTAGGAGCAAGGACGCTACTAGGGGCTCCTGGCATCGCTACTAGGAACAAGAAGCTAGTAGAAACACCCTCGTCGTTTCACGTCGTTTCGCTCATGCACACTGCAGCCGCTCTTGGCGCATAGCATTCGACCGGTCGCAGCCAGCACTTCCTCACGCTGGCGCCTTGTGAACGAGTGCTGTCCAGTGGCGAAGTCGCCCGTTGTCGCTCTGCTTTTTTGGTCAGCTCTTTTCATGAAAAGCTTTCAAAGAGCCAAACGTGAGCTGCTTCTGCACGTCCACCAGCACATCGAAAAGAAAGAGCGCACAATCCTGGGAAGAATGCGCTGGGATCAGCAACACACCTCTGTCCAAAATGTCAAAAGAAAGAGCGCACAATCCTTGTGCACAAAGCAAAGGGGAAAGCACTCACACGGGACTCGCATGGGTGCTGATTAGAACCACGTTTCATTGGAGGCGAAATAGTTTGTAGGTGGATGTTCTTCACCCATGAATTGACCCATCCCCGCAGTTGACTCATTTGACATAAGAGAATGTGAATGACTGTGGTTAGGAACCAAATCAATGGTGGTCTTCAAATGACTTACTCCATTATTACTTGCTCCTACTCTTCTCCATTGCGTAATCTTGCTACAGCAGCAGCGTGCGTATAATGTTTGAAGAGTAGAGAACCGGTAGAAAAAATGACAATCTCAACACGTTGTGGTACTGAAAAGGAGCAACCCAGCTGGCTCTAGGCATCCCAGACCGTGTGAAGCAGCTGCGAGTTCAGCTGGGACCTGAAGGACACACATAACCCACCGAGCAAAGCTGCTAGGAACAAGTGCATTACTACTAGTAGCAAGAAGCCACTAGGAGCAAGGACGCTACTGGGGGCTCCTGCCATCGCTACTAGTAGCAAGAAGCTAGACAAAGCACAACTGCTCCGGGTCAGTCACGAGATCCGGGTCAGCAAGGCCATGGCCTTGGTCTTCACAAGACGGCATACAGCTTCTGCTTTTTTAAAGCCCGCTCCGCTCCCCCCACTCTACTCAATTAAGTATGCGCCCACTTAATTAAGTAAGGGAGAGGTAGCTACTAGTACGCTACTAGCATGGACGCAGGATAGCTCACCCCACAGCCCTAAAGGCGGCGGGGGGGGGGGCGTCCTTGAAGAAGCGCTGGCACTAATGATTTGATTCGTAGATCTTTAGGGAAACATTCATCAGTTAGTTAGGCAATGCTGTGCTCCTGTCAAGGCAGGTATGTAACCATATCACAAATATCTCTAGACTCTGAATGTGTTTTTGTCTTTGCTTTTAGGCTTTTCACAAGACCTTGCTGGAGCACTCCCGAGCCCT